GTGTGTGTGTGTGTGTGTGTGTATCTGCTGTTTTCTGGATTGAATGGCTACTGGCTAATAGATGTAGAGAGGCAAATTAGACTAGACCAAAGCCATGGTGACAGAAATGCTTCTGCTGTTTTACATTGTGTCTGTCAACCTCTACTGCCCCAACTAGATGACAGATTTTTGTTTCTCTTTGCAGCTATCATTTTCAGCTGAATTGCAAAGTGTAATTAGGTTTTAGATCTTATCATTGACTTGAAAATGTAGAAATTAAAGATCAAGTCATCCTGAAAAACATTAAAGTGCTTTACCTGTTTATTAAGGAAAATTATGAATATAAAGCATTAGGGATAACATTGGCTAGGGAAATGATCAAATAAAGAATCTTGAATTCTGAAGAAAATGATTCTGGCTACTGGATATTTTAATGGATAGGGCCTTAGTAGTTAAGTACCAAAGGTGCTTTTTCAGGCGGCAACTGGACTTTCTTGGTTTTTTTTTTCTTTTGAAGAAGTTTTGCTTCTGCATCTTTTTAGAGGATCACTACTCAGGTGACCCTGAAGACACAGGTAATCCTCCAAGTGCTTCAACAACCCTCTAAAAGGATGCAGATTACCAGCTGTCTACAAGGAATATAAATCCTTCCATTCCCCATTATCCTGTCACAGCTGAAGAAGCTTCTTGGATGAGAAGCGAAATGTCTTCAAAGGAAAAACCAGAGAGTCCAGTTGCCTCCTGGAAAAGCACCTTTGGGACAACCATGACCTGGATGACTGAGAATCTCTACAGACTTTCACCAGTCACAGCTTTAGCCAGAAGTGACCGTTCTTTGAATATTCTGTAATCATATTAAAATATAGATCAGATTACTTAAATAACATCTAATTGTTAATTGTCAAATGATGTCAGTGAACTTGTAATCATGATTTTCATGGTATGGTAATAGCTATTGTGTTTTGAAATAGTTTTATTCTTACTCTAACTAGTATTGGTATTAGCTTTTATTAATTGATTAAGATATTTTTGACTCTTTGCATGTGATCCTATGTCAGCAGCTGCCCAGTATGAATCCCGGTGTACCAGGTCCTGCAAGTGAAAGCACATTTTCCCGTGCTGCAGGGACAACTGAGAATGAGCCATTGGACACAAATGCTCCAAAATCTGAAACTGTAGAAGCCAAAGTAGAAGAGCCCATTAAAGCAGAGGCTGCAGCTACCAGCAACAGTGGGGAAATGAAGCCGAACAAATCACTGTGTCCAGAAGCAAGTCCTTCATCAGCATTGCATTGGCTTGCAGATTTAGCGACTCAGAAGGCAAAAGAAGAAACAAAAGGTAAGCTGCCGACTAACTGAAAATGTTTTGTTAGTGGCCCAGTCAGTGTCTAGCATGGCAAGGAGGACAATGATCTCAAAAACAAAGAGAATCAAGCACATTTCCAAATAAACTACTTTTCAAGTCTCAAGTATGACATGTTTGTCAATAATTAATTTCAAGGAAAAGATAACTGGAATCTTCAGGCTAACTAGGTAAAGGTTCCCCTCGTACATATGTACTAGCT